ACATAATCAACTGTGTAAACGAATATTATAGAAGTTATTAATCAGGAATTATTTCATTCCTCTAATGAAGGTTCATTTCTAAATGCTAATTACAATGACAAACCGATCATGTCATATTTAAACTTCAATATATCTTTGTTTTTAGATATATACATATTTTTAATGCTATTTTAAATATATAATTTATAATTTATCATTATATAGATGTGAATAATGGTTATCACTAATAAATATGTACATCACGAGTGTTACCATATTACTAATAAACATTATTCAAAGTTGTTATATGAAGTATTTATTTTTACTTGAATGCCATCTTGTACAGTAGCAAATAAGCTCTAACATATTTTTTCAGAAAAATAATTTCTCTAGAATCAGTAGGATATTTGGTAAAACGACAAAAATTTATTACAGTAACAAAAATATTTTCTTGGGCTCAGTTATTTTAAATTTTTATTATTGTATATCTCTTCTTGAGTAAAATTTACATCGACGCTCTGACTATAATAACAAGTTATGTCTCAATGCAGACATTCTATAATTTCGACGACCTTGCCCAAACTTATTATTAACATCTGAACTGAATAATAATATATAAATATTCTAACTCTTAGATTATATCACATATCAGGAAATATTTATAACATTAATTTGACTAATTTTCATTTTTCTTCATTTATTGAATGGACATATGCACCATTTTCAACTCCAATTTGTTCTTGTGACATACTGTTGTTAATTTTAACAGTTCTTGGCAAATCTGGAATAAAAAACATTGCAATATAGTTAAAAATTAATTAAAAAATTAATTGATTAATTTTCTTATATATTTCACATAAGCCATACTTCGAGGGGGTAAAAATTTACAATTTATGATATCGCTATTTAAAAAAAAAAACTATAAACTTTAAAAAATGTATAGCCAATGTATATATAACTCTAGTATAGCAATTTTATGTTATCTACATTTGAAACTAACTTCTTCATAAATTATATTAAATATACTCTAAAATGAGACACCAGGCTTTTCTCAATGAAGTAAAATCTAAATAATTATTTTTTCTTGTATTGTAACTTTATTTCTTCTTTTGTTTACTTACACAATCTTATAAGATTTTAATGTTCTTTATTAAAAAAAAACTGAAATACGATTTGTACCCATTAAATATAAATCCAAAAAATATATGGATCCGATAACGACAAGTATAATATGTATCTGTACAAGTTTATTTTTAGATTAATTATTATTTCAAATTACTTTTGTAAATTTACCTTTTTGGTGATTCTTTTGAAGACATTTTTCAATAACAGTTATAGGAGATTCGAATGCCAGACTCCAAAAAATAGACACAAAAATAGATAATCCCATGTCTCCAATAAATGCATGAATCTGTAATTTATATAAATTATATAAAAGAAGATATGTTGTTGCTTCTTCATTAATAATTTAACTTAAAATGTGTAATTATCGTATATTAATTTAATTAAATAATGAATTGTGATGAATGATGCTAATTAAACAAAGATGTAATGCTTATATCACTCTGAAATTTGTCATTATGCAAATGCTCAATGGCATTAGAAGTTGTATTTATAACTTGTATTTTGTTCTTAGAATTTTGGGCATGATGTGTCTATAACATATTTTTTTGTAATAAAAAGAATTCGTACATACTAGATGCATTATTCTTAGTGAATAATAGCAGAACATTCATCTGTTTTTTGCTTGGTAAAATTCCGATATTAATATTCTCATACTGACCACAAACTTATTTATTGTACATTTACCATGTTTATATCGGAGAAATAGCCTTGTGTTTTTACACTGTGCATCAGCAAAAGTTGTAGTCTGGTAGTGATTCAAATATATACAATAAGACAATCTGCTAATTGCTGCCAGTATCCCCATGAAAGAACCAGTTTATAGGTCCTGAAACGACTAAAACAGAGAATTATTTTTATTACTAGCCTGATAATAAACTCTTTTTCGTTAATGGTTATTTATGATCATGCCCTACGCAGAGAAGTTATTATTTTCACAAAGAGATTAATGGTTTCATCATACAACTTTTTTAACTTTATTAATAACTTCTATAAATTAAACTTTTTCATAAACCACAGATAATTAAAAGTGAGTTATTACTATCGTTTGTTTGTTAAATTTTCTGCTATTATAAGTTATTTTCATATGATTAAAATAAATTCCTTTATCAATTACCTCCATATCCAGTGCGGCAAGCAAATATTATCCAACATATTCCAAAACCCCAACAAATTTTGGATAATCCTTGGTAAAATGATGCCTCAAGAATATCCTTTTCCCTATCGAGTTGGTAAAATGGGTAAGACCCAAATACGATTGCTCCTAAAGTTGTCAATGTCAATATCCATAAAGAGAAAACTAAAATCTATGAATAAATACATATGTCAATGTACAAACTATGTATATAAATCTACAATTAATGGATCGAAATTCATTAAATCGATATTTCATAAGTCGAAAAATTAAGAAGACACGTTTCTTATACATTCTTGTATAATCCATCTGTTGGTTAAATTGGACTTACTTTATACTTTGAATAATCGAAAGACCTGTAACAGTTTTGGATTTTAATATAAGACCATTTATATGTGGTCAATGGAAATGTTGAATAACTTGAGCAATTTTAATGAATTTTTGATAAACGTTTTTTTTATTATCACATTAAAAGCCTTGCAAATTTTTTCAGCTAGTTTATAAAAAGTTTTGCATTTATTGCTGCATGCAATTGGTTAAATCTGGCAAAGTTATTCAGTTTCCATTGACTATATATTAATGGAGAACTCTGTACTAATTCTAAAATAATTATTTGCCAGAAATATAAATTTACGTGAAATTTCATAGACTATATTTATATTATCGGTCAAAAAAAAATCAACCAACCAATGCAAAGGACATTTGATGGATAACAAATTATTGAAACAAACTAGTATTTTCTTAAACCAAAATCATAAAATGGTTTCAAGTGAAAATCGATGTTACGACTGCTTCATATCAGGCTGTCCGTAGCTTGTATCAAACCTGGAACCCGTAGTTCTAATAACGACTGAATAATCGGTGAATTTTTAATTACTATTATCAAAAAAAATATATTTTTGATACTATCCTATAGAGACGGGCCAAATCGGTTAAGATTTGACTCCGCTTCAGAAAGGAGTTATATACGGAGTTAACAACTCCGAGGACTTGGACAACTTCCAAACCCTATACTAGACACAAATGTGTTCTATAGTGTGTTGTTCATATATCTATCAAGTTATCAAATATTTGGAAATCGTTTACCAACAGTTCAAACATTTTTGTTCATTTTCTAATAAGATTTTAATCTCAAATTTTATGCCAAAATTGACAATAAAAATATTGAAATATCAAGGTAATTATTTAATTCTATATAGAGTCAACTAGACTATGCCTATATAGAGTTAACTAGGCAATCATGCAAAAATTCATGAATAAATGTCAACTAGCTGTAAGTGGAATTCTGTCTTAAGGCAATTAAGGCATCGTGCCTTAAGGCAAATTGCTGGAACTTCCCGTACCAAAAATTATTTTTTTAAAAACGATTAACATTTTTGAAAAAATTTTACTTCGAAAAAATTAGAGAGAAACTATAAATTTGACAAAAAATTACTTTTTTTGAAAAAAAATTTTTTTTTAAAACAAATTTTTTTGAAAAAAAATGTTTTTTTCATTTTGACATACTTTGGAAATTCTGAACTGTTTTTCAAAGCAATCGTACTGCTTTATCTGCATAGAGACAAATGTCAAAGCGCGCAACTGCCGCGCCGCCGTCTAACGGATAAGCATTGGTACGGAACCCATAAAAATGTAAAAAAAATTATACTTATTGTTAAAATCTTTATAAAAATATCTGATAATTTGATGTGCATATGTCTAATGATCATTTTTGACCGCCAAATGGCATTTTTTTTACTTTTATCATTAGATCTCCGAAACCGCTAGACCTGACTTCATGAAAATTTGATCAATTCTTCATCTTGTCAATACAAGTAAAATGTTTTTTGAATTATTTAAATCGGACGCTCCGTTCTCTTAAAAACTAAGTTACCGTTTTCGGCACTTTTTGCCCCGTATCTTTGGAACGGCTGGACCTGCCTTCGCCAAAAACTAATCAGCACGTCTCCTTATCAATACGAATCGAATGCTTTTTGAATTATTCAAATCGGTTGATCCGTGTTCCCGAAATCGTCGACGAAAATTTGTATCCGCACATACATACACACACGCACATACATACATACATACATACGTACACACACACACACACACACACATACATCCATTTTTTCTAAGGTATGCCAAAATGTTCAGAAACCTCTGAAACGTAAAGATATGTAAAAATTTTCATTTTCGATTTTTTTGCGATTACTATAACTTGCCCTACGGGAAGTTAATAAAACAAATGATTCAATAAGAATCTTGTTAACAGATTTTGTACCAGTTTAAGAAGCGTCCATTAATCACTGGAGGTTTTTATGTGGAGGGTGGATTGAAAAAATTTCATAAAATGGAAGGGCTATAGTAAGATATCGTGTGTATTTATTTTTTACCTAATTTTTCTTTTAAATCCAAATATTTAAAAAAAAAAAATTACAATGTTTTCTGGTAACTAAAAATACACGTGTTGTTTGGCGAAGGAAGGGGAGTAATTTCGAATATCGCCACATATCACCAAGGGAGGAAGACTGGGGGTAAAGTTGAATATTACCACGTATCAACAAGGGGGAGGGGGGGTCCAAAATCCTCAAAAAATCGATCAGTGGTTAATGAACGCTTTCTTAGGGATGTCAGTTATGTCAGCATTTCCGTTACAACTTCGCTCGGATTCATTCCGAGAAAGGAGTTGTATCGGGAGTAGTGACTCCGGAGTGAGGTACACATCTTTACGGGTATCCTAGGAGTGATGACTCCGGAGTCAGTTACACATTTCTACGGGTATCCTAGGAGTGATGACTCCGAAGTGAGTTACACATTTCTACGGGTATCCTAGGAGTGATGACTCCGGAGTGAGTTACTATTTCTGTATATTATATTGTGTATTTGTTGTGCAACTCTTCTAGACGATTTACTCACCGGGCTCAATCGAAATTGGCGTTTCTTGACTTTGTGCAAAATGTATCCGACAAGAATACCGGCTAACCATGGGCCGTAACGAGTGTACGCCGGGAAGTAAAGATATTTGATCTGATCGCCGGCACCGAAAGTGTCCCTGAAATTAATTCATAACTATACGATTCCGAATTATATCGACTGTCTCTAATTTAATAGTCAGGCTGATGATAAATTTTATATATTATTAAAAATATTAAATATATTTTTATATGATAAGTGACATCTAATTGCTAGTGACAGAATAACCACGCTTCAGAAATTACCCAAATATTATTTTGTTAAAAATAATACCAATACCGAAATATCATATCTGTGAGGAAGATTTGAGATGCTGATATAGGGTAGGTTCTTTATTGCGTTAGAAAGCTTTTATAAAAATATTTCAAACGCACTTGAAATAGTTTTTGAGATATTTGAATTAGGTATGCTGATGTTTTTTAGCAAATCCCTCGTGAACGGCGAGAGCTATTATAAATTATTTGCACCGGCTGATAGATACTTTAAATACCAATATTTCATTCAAAGAAAGAAAAGAAAATTCAGAGCCCTATCACAAAAGATTTCAAAATTGTAGGTACTTAAACGTTTTGGAAATAAAAAATTCAAAAAGTGGGGATATTGGTAACAAATAATTTGATTATCATAATGTGTAGAAGTCAAATGAAATGATTAGAGGTAGTAAAGAGTGTTCTCTAATCAAAATTAATTAGGAACAAATTATGAAAAATAGTAAATCAAATCATAGCAAACTATTGTATTATTTGTAATCTAGAGATTGAATGAAGTATGTAAATCTGTACTTACATTTCGCTGATGGCTCCACTAAATTTATTGACATACGTTATGCTAAAATTGATAGCAACAGATGCCAGCAGCAACCCTACAGTACCTCCAATAAAATACTTTGGCCATTTTATCATTGGTATCAAAATTAGGGGCGATAGAATGTACATCTGCATATCAGCTTGCAAATACCAGGATTGAACTACACACTGAGATAAATGTTTGATATTAACACCAAGAACTATTTTTAAAAAATAATTAAAAAATATTAACTAAAACTACTAAAGATAATTATTTTCTCTTACTATTTCCATTGTATTGTATATCGTCTGGATATAGAGCAGTGCTGACCAAAAGTAGTCTGTACAAAACTGTGTATAATACGGGACGAGGTTGTTCCAAAGTGGACCATCTCCCATATGTATCAACAATGAGGATTGGAGCAGTATCATTGCTGCATATGGAGGAGTCAATCGCAAATATCGATGAATGTAGAAGGAGAATATATTAAATCTGAAAATGATAAGTAATATAATTATATACATAATCGGAAATAGACTATTAATAACTTTATGAACTAAATCTTTTCGCTAACATGCATCTAATGCAAAACATATTAATCAATAGCATATGACTTGAAATCGTATTTATAATAAAATATTTGGCAAAATAATATTTTTGTCAAAAACGAATCAAAACAATGGCAATAAATAAATTGGTTTCTTATATAGCATAAATTCATCCAATATCTTGAGTTTTGCATTATCTTCAGAAAATCTTTTAAATCTGTATATTTTAAGCACTCATTTGATAAATATTAACTAAGTAGTACATTTGGTCAATCAATATTAATACTAACTTGCCTTTTTCCATTTGACATATGCTTCATAAAAATGTAGGACAAAAGTAGACCACTCATTGTGAAGAAAGTATCCACGGAAACAGATGCACCAGTTACAATTGTACTGTGATATTCAGATAACCACTATAGATGGAAAATTAAATGTTAAAAACTTGTTAAAATATAATCTATTGACGTAGATTTGTTCAGTAATACGGGACAAAGTTGTTCCAAAACGGATCATCTACCAAATGTACAATAAAGGTTGGAGCAGTATCATTAACCTAAACTATCTAGTATTGTAATAAATTGACTCTGGAAAAAATTTATATAAAGCTATTCATTGTCAGTTTATTATTGCAATAGCAGTTTTTTAATACAAAATATTAGTCATCTTAATGTATTACCTCGAAATGTTATGTATACGTAGTAAATAGTACTGCATATCAAAAATGCACCAAAGATGCCAAATACATTGCTATACATAGAGGAGTCAGTTGCAAATACCGATGGATATAGACAAAAATTGTTATTTTAACAACTAATTATTGAGAATTATAAAAATAAAAATTACTCTACAAAACAAAATGTTTTCCATAAATAGCTGAAGTTTAGTTCACCTTTAGATGAGGCATATATAAATTTTTATAATTAAGTTCAGAAATTTACCCTTCTTAGATAGGTTTAAGAAAAAATGATATTCTTATATGACATAGTTTCCAAAACTATTTATTTTTTATTTCTATTTTTATACTTACATCTTTAACATCTATTAAATTGACCAGAGGTTGTTCTATGCCAAAACTATATCTATGAGCCAGTACTACCCACGATATACTAAGGGCTCTCAAACCGTGTATACATGAAATGCTGTCGCTTTTTGATGGTGAATTGATCGCCAGTAATTTTTGTCCATTGGAATACATTGAAAACGCTAGCAGAATATTATGCCTAGGTCTACTATCTGAAATATTTAATAATATTGAAAATAAAATGACATATACACCAAAAATACTAAAAAAAATTAATTAATGAAATAGTATACTCTCTTCAAGTTGGTTTTCATATCTAGATAAAGATAACCAAATTATTTTATAATTGTTTCTCGAGCTATTGGTCAAAAATACTTTAGACACTGTAAAAATGAAGAAAACTGTTCTATGAATCTATAATATAAATTTGTGTTCTCTAATTCAAAGGGTTTATTCAATTATCTTGTTTGATGCATGATGTTAGGAATAATAAAATTTGACTGAATTTCGGTTTTAAAGCATACGATTGTTTATCTAAACTATGTATGGCATGATTATTAATTATCTCATAGATAAATTTCAATAATTATTCAAATGAACAAAAATTACTCTCCAATAAGTAGTCGCCGATTAATCATTATTTTATCTAATAATTTTATAAGTGTTTGTCTTCCACAAGTACTTGAGCTATTTATCGGAAATCACAATTGTTTATTCCGCTTATTGATACAAACACTTTATATCAATTAAGTATTAAAAGCAAAAATTAAATTAAATTAAAAAATTATAAATGATTTAAAAATCATTGGGGCGTGGCATCATTCAAATTTAAAACCTAACAATCGAGTATTTTAATAAATTGACTTCAGGAAAATTATATAAAGCTATTCATTGTCAGTTTATTTATGCAATAGGAGTTTTTTAAAACAAAATATTAGTCACTATAACATATTACCTCGAAATCTTAGAAATACATCGTAAAATGTACTGCATATCAAAAGTGCACCAAAAATTCCAAATACGAACCTAAAATGAAAAAAATTAATAAAATATGTATATATGTAGCAGCGTGTTAAGTAAATATTTTTCTTAATTATATATTTATTGGATTTTTATTTTGAATTCTTCATTCAATTTTGCAATTATTGCACTTACATGGCAATCCAATCTGCAACTGTAAAATTTCTGGTTTCATTCTGAGTACATGTACCACTTAATAATGATTGTTTGGGATCCAAAGGAATTTGATCCTTGATTACCTCCAGGACATCATCCACTGTGCAGGATGATGGCAAACATAGTCCAAATCCTAACATAAACATACTAGGAAGATCAGACATCTGCGTTCTTGGCATCGCCAAATCCCTTAAATATTAAATAATAAAAGATCAATTAAATCACTCTTTTTTTAAAAAATATATATAAATGTGTTGAGGCATATATAATTTTCGTCAATGTTGAAGAAAAAACGATATCTTTTATATAAAAATACGTCGGGTTTTCGAACAGAACGCACGAACCGATTTCAACCAATTTGCATTCGTTGGAAAGGTCTCGGACTCCGTGAGGTTTATAGCAAAGAAAATTGAAGAAAGATTTCAACAGAAAAGCGAAAAACACTTTTTCTTTTTTCACATACAGCGTCATCTATGATACTTATTTGTTTGGCTCATTTGTTTGACAGCTACTCATTGTTCTCTCTGCTCAGTTAATTTTATGTGAAAAATCGGCATTGTGTTTACTGTGAAATTAAGTAAAAAAAATAAGTTATTAGTTTCCTAACATTTCAATTGATCATGTTTTTAATATTAAATATTTTTAATTCAATATAGTATACTAAACATGGCTTAATTTTATATTTGATAAAAAAACTATGTAAAAATTAAATTGTATAGAATGTGATGATAATAATACGTTTTGGATTTAAATTCGAAGAAGAAATCTTTCCATTGTGGAATTTTAATTGCAAAATCTAATTGTAATTACCCAGACCGCTTATAAACTTCATTAATTATATTATATAAGAAAAATTGATTTAGATTAGTGTTTATAGTTATCAATGCAAAACCTATTTCAATTTATTTATTATAGTTATATTTTTTTGTAATAATTTTTGCCTATTAATGTGTTTATATTCAACTGCCACAACTTTCGATATAAAATAATATTTTATTTGACTTAATTTTTTATTGTAAGTAAGTTATCAGTCTTGATCTATTTTTATGATTCTTTATTATATATTTTATAATTCTTTATAATTATAATTACCTTATATTTAAAATTTTTACTTAAATATCCAATTAGAAAATACATAAAACTTTGCGTATTTAGATAAACTTTTAGTAAAATAAAATAATAATACGTCTAATTCATAATATTTTTGTGGCAAATTTCAATGCAATGTGAGGTGCACACAATTGATTGTATATCGATATATTGACAAAATTACATATATTTATTGTCTAAATAAAAACTATATTTACTACCTAAAATATATTTACTCACATTCTACGGCTTCTAATTTGATCAAAATTTCCTTTAGTATTATTTTTGTTCGGATTTAGTTCAGAGAGGGAAACACGTAGCATACAATGTTGGCCCTTGATAATCTGACCCTTGGATGAATTTCCTTGGATAGCAATGCATTCATCATAATTTCCTAATTCGACTATGTTTCCCATCAATAATCCACTTGGAATTTTTGCAGATGCATCTAACACTATAAAATATTATTATTATTATCATAGAAACAATAATAAAATTCGTAAACATTGTTATATAATTATTTTAGAAACAATAAAAAATGAAGTAAAATTAATTAAGTTATATAAATATTGGCACAAATAAAAAATATTTAATAATTGATCATATATTTTTATAAACAAAACACGAAGAACTAATATTTTTCTTTGGTAAAATTATGTGCTGATGTATATAATATTACTTATAAAATTGTAATTTCCTAATAATTCTTCAAACTATTTTTATCATTAATAAATTAGATAAAAACATACAGTTTTTGAATGAATTTAAAACTATAACACATTGTAAAAATAGAATTTCTTGATAAAATGAGAATGAAAATTGGGTTCTACACACTTTTTGAAAACTTTTTTTGAAACACAATAGACAGAAACAGAATTATGAATTTGATACAAACAGAATTTACATTGCACTTTATACGAGTTGAAAATTAATACAAATGTTAATATTTTCTTTTTTATGTTATTATTTTTTTCTATTAGTTATATGAATCTGGTTGCCTATTACATGCGTATTTTATTGAAAATTTATATATAAAAATATACACTCACTTCTGATGGCCCAATCTTCACCATCCTGCAGTCCATTTATAAATTCTTGCAAATCTGCACCACATTGACCATTACTTGATTTAACTTTCGTACGAATCTTTTTAACAAAATCAATTTTATCCGTAACTATAACATCTTGGAAATTAAAACTTAAAACTGAAACTATTCCACTAATTAAAAAAAGTAACAATAAATATATGCTATGCATTTTTGGCACAATTGATAATCAAAATTCTAAAAATATTTACGACTGTACTGTCTGATATCATTCATGATACTGCACCTGACACCTGATTCAAGGAGCCCTTAAATCTATCATGATCATTGATAATAGTGATTTTTTTCATTGATTTCCAAGATATGTGTTGATGGGTAAATAACAAGATATCATATCCGAAATCGATTTGATGAATCACATGTTGGGTATTATTTAGAACTGCAGTTTCGATTCAAGAAGCAGTGGTGGCCAACTACTGTAATATATAATTAATAGTTGTATTTTATGTGTTTGCTTTGTACTCTGTTTGGAAATGTTACAATAATTTAATTTATACATCCTTATTAAATTTTACATTAATTTCTTTTATAATTTTTTTAAACAAAATAAGTTTTTACATTTATCTTAAATTTTTTATAAACTAATCAATGTTTAAAGAATTTTAAATAACAGAAAAAAAAATCATTTTTATTATTTTATTATTATATAAATATCATATCAATCATTCTCCAAATTGTGCCTACATATAAAGATTAGTTTTATTCATAACTTAGTATGGTTGTTGTTTAAATTTATTTTGTTAAAATTAAATAAGTTAAGTTAAGTTAAGATTAAATTAATAGAACAAGACTCTTTGTTTTTATTATTGTTAAATTAATTTAATCTTATTTTTGAAAAAATAAATTTAAACAAAAGCCCTATTAAGTTATAACTGACCTTAATATTTAGGTACAATTTGATAATGATTAATATGATATTTATATAATAATAAAATGATTATAATGAATTTAAATTTTTTCATTTGTTTTAAATTTTCTAAATATTGATTAGTTTATAAAAAAAATTATAGCTTAGTATTTGTGCTTTTTTTAATTATTTAAAACTTTGGGAAGTTGATAAACATATAAAACAGATTATTTAAAATCAGTTCTCCTTCGATCTAGGCGTAGGGATTAATTTTCTAAATACATGAATATAAAAAAGTCGAAAAATTTAGTTTATTATAAAATAATTTGTTTATCACTGCTAGTGTTTAATTATCGGTCAATGGTATAATGCATTTATTTAATGATAACGTTGTAATTGATAGAGTAAAAACGTGTTGAGATGATAAAATTTCGAGATCATCGGATAAAATTGAGATGAATGACCTAAAACAAAAAGAAATGTAATAATGAATTAATCAAATTAAATTTCAAAATTACATTGCACAATTTAATCTTTGCATTATTATGCGGTATCTTATTATTTTTTCAATGATGCAATTCATTTTTAAGAAAACCAAACATTTTAGATATCAGTAAAAGGATCTATAAATGTTGTTCATCAGTATTTATATGTTAATAAAATCTGTTAATTAGGTAAAATCAATGATATTTTTTATAAATCCTGGTCTTTATTCAGTGTTACAAAACTGAAAAAGTAGGACCAAAAAAAGTCGATAATAGTATTTTAAGAACACGGAATAAAATGCATTATGTATTAATGTGCATATAAATACATCAAACTTTAGGACTCAAAATTGCACAAAAAATATATGTACCAAACAAAACAAAGTCTAATAGAGATAATTAATAGATAAAAATCAATTTATATGCTATGAAAACATGTTTGATCCTTTGGTGGTTATCTTTCTATATCAGGATCAATTATCTCGCTGTAAGACAATATTAGAATCTGAAATTATAAGATAAAATTCATATATTTGTGATTCACTAAAAAAATATAAAATAGTATATTTACTTTTAGGTTTTTGCTTGAATATTTCATTTATTATATTTATAAACGGTCTTTCAAAAGCAAGTGTCCATCCAATTGATGCCAAAAGTGCACACACTATATCACCTATTGCAGAATGTATCTAAAACAATACAAAATTGTGTTCAAGGATTTATTAAACTTAGAATAAATCATATATTTACCAGATTAGCATCTGAAAAATATGCAGGTGATCTCATAGTTGCAATATTTAGAGATTGTAACGGCACGTGTATTAAATAGGCGCAATAACTTAGTTGACTTATTGGCTTCCAAAATCCCAAAATTAGAAATCGATCTACAAAACCTGAGAATAAATATAAATATTATAATAGAAGAAGTAATAATATCTGATGAAACTGAAACCGTGTTAAAACATTTCCAGATATTGGTTCAAATATTCATAAAAATATATTTAGGAACCGATTCTGCTACATAACAGACAAATGTTATGGCAAGGTTATGTTACGGTCCAAGCATGGAGCTTGGATATTATGGTACTGAATCATACTGAATACTGTCAAAATGTATTTGCTGTGCATTCAGGCGTTTTACATAGAAACTGCAATATCACTCGTATATTATAAAGCCTAATCAGAAAGACCCTGTTATCTAACATCGTTTTCTTACATTTGTGCGGTTTCTAGGTTAGGTTTTTTATCTGAAAACCTGAGAAATACTCACGACAGCACATGACTTTTGTCAATATTTATAATGAATTTGTATGGAAAGTCATATATGGCATATCCTTGCCATAACATTTGTCTGTTAAGGGGCAGAATTGGTCCCTTAATTGTAATCCATCAATTTATATGCATTACTTCAGTCAATTTACGCATTCAAGATTGCACTAATTCAAAATGGGCTAAAACTAGGTGAACTTGCTTAAAATACAATTATGAAAGAAATCTCAAAAGTCCTAATCGTTTCGGTGCGAGCTAACAAAAATGTGTTAAAATATACAAAAATATTTTTATGGATCTATAATGTTAGTTAAAATTGTATAAAAAATTACTTACCTCCTCTTTTATGATAGCATGCAAAAATAAACCAACATATACAAATCGCCCAAGAAATTTTACTTAGAGAATAGTAAGCAATACATTCCAAGGCAGAAAATGCATTTCCTGGCAAAAAGAATTTGTAGCAACCTACTACAATTATAAACATTGATAGCAAAACTAACGTCCATATAGCCACCACAGCAATCTTTAAAAAATATTACAAATTAGTATCAAATTTTAGCAAAAGTATTTTATTTTTATATCCTACATACTTTATGCATTTTCATAAATGATGTTGGTGTTTTTTGCAAAATATATCCTAACAGAATTCCAGCTATCCATGGACCAAAACGTGTATAGGTTGGATAGTAAATACTCATTATGGTATACATATTCAACCTAGTTAATAAATATATAGTTTTGATTGATTATATAAAATAAATATATTTGCACGATAGAGTTTTTTATATATAAATATAAAATTGCAGATATTTTCTGTGTTCAAGCAATAATAAACAAAAAACGTACATTTTATTATCGTTTCTTTCATAATATACACTATGTTATAGTTTATGAGGTCGATTCTGCCGTAAAATAGGCCAATGTTATGGCAAGGCCATGTTTTGTAGAATTTTTCATACAAAATTGTACTAAATACTGTCAAAAGCCACGTGGATGCTGTGCAATCAGGCGTTTTATATAGAAAACCTGAGCTAGAAAACGCACAAATGTCAAAAAACTATGTTATCACAACTGCATTTTTGTAGTGTGACATAATAACATGACTGAAGTTGCATTTTAAGTGTAAAACGCTTGATTGCACAGCAAATACATGGCATTCTGACAGTATTTAGTACCATTTTGTCAGAATACTGCTACATAACATGGCCTTATTATAAAATTGGTCTATTGGCAGAATCGTCCCCTATTTTTATTCATTTTTTTTTCAATTATCTGAATCTACTTACTTCTCTCTATCTCCTGAATTATAAATTTCATCCCAAAGCGTGATAATTATTATACAAATTGAAATAATTATAAGTCCAATTATGCCAAAAATTGCAAATTTTGGACGCTTCCACAAAGGTATTAATAAAATTTGAGATAATAAATATAATTGCATATCAACCGCCAAATACCAAGAAACTAGTAAGCACTGGAATAGAATATAAATTCATTATAAACTTACTTATTTATTTATTAATCATCACAAAAAAATAAATTATTACCATTTGAGAAGGATCATCGTAATTTTGGATATAAAGTATGTTTTTCCACCAATTTTTTTCACACACTTCATTTTTTTGTCCAATGAACGATTTAAATATGGGTCCAGATCCTAATCTTTGTAACCAGCTCATCTGGAGAAAAACAAGTTGTTTTTTTTTAATTAAACACTTTGCTAGGTGTATAATTTTTTTATTATATATACTAAAAAATGGTTATTTACATCAGAGAAGAAATGCTTAAGAAAAAAAGACATTTTTTATGGTTCTTCAATTTCCAGTTTAGCTAGAATAACCTCAATTTTATTTAATATTTAACTGGCATTTATTGACGCAATATATGTTTTAAAATATATTATATTATTGAAATTTTTATTATTATCTAAAATTATTTATCATACCTCAAAGAATATTGCTGCTACTAATGGTGGCGTCAGGCGCAAATATCTCTTAACATAAAATTTCCATAGACTAAACTCATCTTGTAATTTTCTTGCTTTTAGAAAATTATAACTTAATAAAAATCCACTCATAACTAAAATTGTATCAACTGCTACTGAGAAACCATTTATATATACAGAATAAACGTTTTCCTTCCACTAAATTTGAATAAAATGATAAGTGAATAAAATATTTTAAATCCTATTAAATAAAAAAAATACCTTTGAATATCATATGTGTTTATCATTGGTAAATTAATTCCAATTATGAATCTGTGAAACAAAATTATCCAAAATAAACTAATTGATCTTAATCCGTGTAAGCAAGAAATGTCGTTTTTGCTGTTATAAAATGTTAGAATTTTTTTGTGATTTGAGTATAAAGAAAAACCTAAAAATATCTTTGTATTTCTGGATATTGCATCATTTGAACCTGCAAAAATAACCATTTTGATAGAATATTAAACTAAATATTAATAGCAAGTAATTCT